AATCCTCATCCCCTCCCCCTCCATCCCCATAACCCACAAAACAATTCAAATAACAACCCAACCCCACTTAACACTCACCCATAAATAAAAAAAACAAAATATTTCTAAATTATAAACTTTCCCACTACAACCATAAAATTAAAAAAATCCAATATTTAAACTATATAATCCTAATAACTTAATCACTCGACCTACACGATATAGATATGAGATAGATCTCACGCTCATCTCACGCAGTAATTCGACTCTCCCAAATTCATCAACGTTCTACTTTACTCTTATCCACTTCCTATTTTCCAACCACACAATACCTCTCTTCTCTCACCTCACACAAATATTTCCCTCTTCAAAATCAAAACAAAATTTCCACCTCCAAACAGATACCCCCACTCATCCCTAAACCATTTTGTGCTAAACTCATTCCCTTCAATCTATTCTACCACAAACATTTCAAACCATACTCATTTACAACACACAACCAAACATCACCCCCTCCTCTTCCAGTCTAAAACTACTATCAATTAACCTCGACTATCTGCCCCTCTTACCACTACATATCACGCCTATACCAACAACACATTCCCATCACCTTCATACTCACTATTTCCCCGCTCCTCACACGCAGCATCATCGCTCATAGAGATTAGAAGAACAACCATTCGATTTAACATAGAATTCTTATAACCCCCCCCTACCCTTTCTATAGCATATCCTAGAATCGATAGCTATGATGAGATAGAGTCTAAAACGAAGAAAAGAGAGATTAAAATTCACAACCAACACCCCAAAATTCAACCTATTATCAGAATAATACTTCATCAAATTTTTCTTTCTGTCTCAATCCATATCATACTGTAAATTTTCTTCCCGATCATAACTCCATACCATCACTTCATCTCGAGGTGAGAGAGAGATATCACGACCCCGCATCCCAAGCTTCAGGGGAATAGCTTCAAAGATCCAACTGGCCAAATGTGGGACAACTGGAACATTTTTCTAAAAAAAAAAAAACAAAAAGGAAATAAATTATAACATTGCTTTAAAAAAAAAAAGTCAAGGGGTACCTGGGTGGCTCAGTCAGCTAAGCATTCAATTCTTGATTTCAACTCAGGTCATGATCTCGGGGTCATGAGTTCAAGTCCTGTATTGGGCTCCACGTCCAGCATGGAGCCTACTTAAAATCTTAAAAATTAAAAAATAAAAGTATAGGGGTATGGAGAGAGAACAACTTTCTGTAACAAAAGAATGCTAGCTATTATGTGTAGAAGGACTGCTAAAATTAGAAAATCATCAATTTGCAAACACAGAGTAAGAATCACCAAATGATGATAAAAAGCATGGGATGAAAGGATTCTCACATTCTCGAAATTTCACCTATTATTTATTGATTACAAAGGGGGAAAAAAGGTATTTTTAGAATTCTGAAAATGTCTTTCCCAAGGGATCAAAGTAAGCATCACCAGTAATGGGTCAAATTAGCATCATCAATCTTCTGATAAGATGCAATGGGAAGTATGCAATACCACCTACAGCGCTATGTGGAAAAAGATTAACCTGAAACTAGTCATGAGAAAACAAGTTCAGACTGGAGAATATTTCACAAAACAAAACAAAACAAAAAAATATATATATATGTTTCATAAAACAATTGCCCTGGATTTGACAAACTTACAAAGTTTGTAAAAGAAAAAACAAAATAAAATAAAAACAGGGAAAAGAAGAGAAGAGACAAATGAATGGCTATAGGTAAAGGAGGCTAGGGGCACCTGGGGGGCTCAGTTGGTGAAGCATCTGCCTTTGGCTCAGGTCACGATCCTGGAGTCCTGGGATTGAGCCTCACATCTGCTCCCTACTCAGTGCAGTCTGCTTCTCCCTCTCCTCTCTCTCTCCCAAATAAATAAATAAAATCTCAAAAAAAAAAAAAAAAAAAAAAAAAGAAGGTAAAAGGAGACTAAAGAGACATGACAACTAAATGCAAACTGAGATCCTTGATTAGTTGCAAACTAACAAATAATAAAAGCCACATTCACACAATTAAAAAGAACACACATGGCTGGGACAAAGGGAGAAATTTGAATGAAACTGTATATTAGATACAATTTTGTTAAAATGCAATTTCCTAGATATGAAAATGATATTGTGTTCATATAAAAAGAAGTCCTTGTTCTCATGAAATACATGTTGAAGTATTTACAGTAAAATATCATTATGTTTGCAACTTAATTTCAAATATCTCAGCAAAAAAGGTATAAATTTAAAATGTATATATTGATAGAAATTTTAGAGCAAATGTGACAAACTGATAAAAATTAGAACTTCTAAGGGAAAGATATATATGTACCCATTATACTGTTCTCTTAATTCTTTGTAGGATTTTTTTTTTAATTTAGAAAAAATAATGCTATCTCTAACTGGCTTAATTCAGTTTTAAGGAAACACTTCATGGAAATCCCAAATAGATATAAAGACTCTTGGCTGCTATAGCAATAGGTCTGCAACTTCCCACTGGTACATAATGCTACTTAGTCATCACAGGCCACCACCGATGGGCAAAATAAAAACACAGTGTAAATAATATACCAGAGAGTTTCATTCCCATTCAAGCCACATCTGGCTTTCTTTGACAGCATGGCAGTAAGTGACCAAAAATCCTTGTTAGGTACAAGAAACTATAAAACTTCCTGGAATTGATGGTGGTCAATTTGTTAAAACTGGTGGTAAGTTTCCCTAATAGACACAGTCATTTCTGAATAAAATTTAAAAACAACAACAAACGAAAACCTTCTTAAACTGCAAAGCCTGCTAAGTACAAAGTGACCCACCATACTACTCTAAAGCTCCTGAAAAATGAGGTGTTTTTTTTCAATTTGGAGAAGTGAAGTTACTTGATGGTTTAGAAAATTATTCATTCATTCAACAAATACTGATTGAGCAGTCTTCCAGGTGCTAAATGGCAGAAATAAGCAAATATATCATATAATGTCAGTGCTATGGGGAAAAAAAAAAAAGAAAGCAGGGTCAAGAAGAAAAAAGATAGCAAGGAAATAAAAAATAATAAAGGATGATATTTTTGGTAGGGTGGTCAGAAAATGCCTACAGAGAGGAAGAACTGAAAATATAGTGAATGTCCAGGAAATTATTATAGTCCAGTTTGGCCTTGCATAGCATATATATGTAAGAAGTGGGGTTTAAGGATGATAATAATGTTGGGACTAGGGCTTGGAAGATGTGAATTTGGACTTCAGATAATGAAGAACAAATGGAGTGATAGAATCAGTGTTGTAGTGTTATTTTTTTCCCACAGAATTTGACACCACAGTTTTATAAATTCAATTTCTTCACACCTCAAGGAGAAAGCAACTTAATTTTCTTTACAACCATATTGCTATTGATTGCCATAAAGGAAAATGTATATATTTTAGTCAATTCTCAATGATCTACACATGGGAACACTGCCACGATAGCCCAAAGTTTGTGTGAAAGCCACACTGTTAGATCGGAACCATGATCTGATTTCCCGAAGCAAGAAAAATTGCATGAGGAGCAGTTTCATAGAGCTGTTCTGGGGGCCCCTGGGTGGCTCAGTGGGTTAAGTGTCTCCCTTCGGCTCAGGTCATGATCTCAGGGTCCTGGGATCGAGTCCTGCATTAGGCTCCCTGCTCAGCGGGGAGTCTGCTTCTTCCTCTCACTCTGCAGCTACTCCTGCTGTGCTCTTTCTCTCTCTTTCTACCTCAAGTAAATAAATAAAATCTTTTTTTTTTAAGGTGTTCTTCTGAACAGCAAGCAAATAGAGAAATCAGAGAGTCCGAGGAGTTATCCTGCTGCCACGTGAATGCTTGTTTTCTTTTCTACTCAATATGCTTGTTGAGGAGGAAGTTTTCTCTACCCTTCAAGATTCTTCTGATTGGTCTAAAAGTTAAATTGATGTGAGACATTAATAGGAGAAGATCAATGTTAATTTTGGATGTATAGGAATCCCGCATATATGAAAGACAGAAGAGTAAATGTGGTATATTCACCATCGACGGTGATAGCTCTGTTTGTGGAGCAGGTCCTCTAACTTCCTTTAGGCAGTTAGGGAAAAGTCAAATTTTCTTCCTGAGTGTTTGGGCCTGAACAAACAATCAGTTTTCAGCTCAAATCATCTACATGCCAAAGTGTCACAGCTTTTGGCAATTCATTCTCAACTCCTACCAGCTAAACACTTTGATCCTGCGTCTCAGGCACCAGGGCAAATCCAGATAAAGGTGATACAAAACACATCGCACATTTTCAATGGAAAAATTAAAATGGAACACAGATGATCCACATATAGTCAACAATGCAAAACACTGAAATCATACTACATAGTATCAACAGACACCCTCACTTTAATACTTCGAATATGCTTGAAGATAATAAAGAAATAGGTATTCTAAATTACTATGGCATTAGCTTTTCCTCTGTATTTTTTTTGAATTTTTAAAGTTATTTATTTATTTATTTATTTATTTGAGAGAGAGAGCACAAGCAAGGGGAGGGACTGAGGGAGAGGGAGAAGCAGACTCCCTTCTGAGCAAAGAGCCCAACATGGGATCCAATCCCAGTACCCTGGGATCCCAAAGGCAGACATTTAACCAACTGAGCCACCCAGGCATCCCTCCTCTCTATTGATTGATTGATTCATTTACTTGTCTATCAGACATTCACTGGAGTCCCAGATATGCAAGAGCATTGCTTGGAACTGTGAGGAGAAATGTCCACAATTATTTCCACTCTCCCAACAGGAACCTGTTATAATTTAACGGAGGCTTGAAATTTTAAAATAAGAGTTTTAAGTTCAGTTAGCTACACCATCAAATTTCTCTAGCGTTGTCTTATATACTGAGGCTCTAAACTTGTAAGTTTTCTGTTTATAAGCTGTGTGATCTTGGTCAAGTTATATATCTCTTTCGGGATCATCTTCCCATTTGTGGAATAAAAAGAATGAGGGCTCTCTGAGATCTGCTCTTACTGAAGTGGATCGATGATGAAAATAGCCCAGATTTGATTATCAGAAGCCCTTCTGGTCTACCTGATGCATGATCTCCATAGTTCTGAGAAGGAAAGGTAACTTAGAACAGTAAAGACTTATGTCAGTAGCTGTGTATGCCAAGATGACAGTGTATAACTGATGGCTTAATGAATGACATTGGGATGAGGGTGGAGGAGGTATGTGTGTAGATGAAAGACGAATCAGTTCTGAGTCATGATGGAAAGGTTTTACTCTTGACATTTACAACTATGAAGATTTCTACACTTGATCTGAGCTCAAAAAAAAGTGTACATATTTCATTAGGTTGTTGAGAAAACTAAGTGAGATTGGGCTTATGAAATATTTAGATAGTCTAACACTTAGCAATGACTCCGTATGTGTTAGTTATGACTATGATTTGTGATCATTATCATTAAAGAAGTCATGCCATTATTAAAAGTATTATTAGAAGCTCAGAACAAAGTTTTAAATATTTGAATTATTCTGAAAAAACACAGAGATTCAATATGTATGTGTTTGTCTTGTAGCAAGAAGGAAAAAGAAGACATAGAACCATCTTGCAAATTATAATATAATCATGTATTAATATCTCAAGATACAAAAAGGAGTGGTTATTAAACTGATGGGAACCAGAGAGACTTGAAATGCCTAATTATCACCTCTCTGGGGATTAGCATCAAGTCACTTTTCCTGATCACTGGAGGGTACAAGTTCATCCATAAGCATGGACCAAATGAATAATAAGTAGATCCACTGACAAGACACCTTGAGAAATAGGAGAATTCAGATGTTCAGGCCAGACACCTGAGGCACAAAATTCATTTTATAAAGTCATCCAAGTTGTGCTAGCAATAAAATTTCACCCTTTTAAAAAAATTTTTTCCCTTTGGTGGTGGCCATTAGTTACTGTGCGTGCTTTTCCTCCTATGGATTTGGTATCCATGGGGCGACTGTGTTTACTCTGTTCAGTGAACTGTGCTGAAGCACCTTTCCGCAGCCCTTCACTATTACCTCTGAAGGGATATAAGCCTTGAAAGCCTCTTTATAGAGAACCTATATGGGGAAAAAGTAGTTCCCAGCCTTCCACCCTCACATGACCATTATAAGCCCCCGACTAAGTACACACTAATAGCTCATAGTTAACAAAGACAATGCTTTATACTTGCCTTTTTCACACTTCCATAAAGATGCTGGCTCTGGCATTTTCTAATACACCAAAGAGATTTTTAAAGCCATGACTGAATTGTGAAGAAATACTGATTGTAAGGTGTTGTGCTTCTTTGTCTTTTTCTATTGTCTTATTTGTATTAAAAAAAGAGTTTAAATAAAGAACATATGGGGGTGCCTGGGTAGCTTAGTGGGTTAAGCATCTGCCTTCAGCTCCAGTCATGATCCCCAGGTCCTAGGATGGAGCCTCCAGGTCAGGCTCCCTGCTCAGCAGACCTCTCTGTCTCCCTCTGCCCCTCCCCCTGTTCATGCACATGCACATGCATGCACAGGACCCCTCTCTCTGTCAAATAAATAAAATCTTTAACAACAACAACAAAAAGAACATATGGCAGTATAGTCAGAAAGGTAGAATAAATTGCTTTTAGGGAACTTCCTTATCTTTTCCAACATCACACTCCTCCAGTCCACCAGGTAAAGGAGAATATCTATGCCAGACATTCCTGACCTTACATATATTTCCTTTCCTTCTGAAACTGTTTGCCTGGGACTTTATCCTGACCCTTTTTAACAGATAAATGGGGAAAAACCCAACTGTACCTTTCCAACACCTACCTGGTTTTTATATTCTGTACTCGTTCTAGAATCATCACATATTATGATGGGAGCTTAGACAACACTCTCCTAAATACAGATGGCAAATGATAATATTATTTAGTGGTTGGTAGCAAACTATTTAGATTTAGATATCAACTCCCAGATCTTTAGCTAAGTAATCTTGAAAAAGATAGCCACCTCCCTGATTTCATATCTCATAAGATTACTGATGATAAATGTGAAGATTTATTTTTAAATGTGTTAACTTTCGTGATACCCGGCATGTAATAAGCATTCACTAGCTCTGTGGCTACTATTCTACAGCTCCCTTCATTCTTTCATGTTTTTAAACACAGACTCTCAAGTCAGTCAGACCCAGTTTCAAAGAATATTATGTGTAAGATGTTTGCAATAGAATTCATCTTTCTGAATCTCTGTTTATTCATCTATTTTCTCAAAAGTGTTTGAGTATTAAATAATAACCATAAAGTACCTAACATACGCTAGAACTTAATACTCCATGAGTGACAGATGTAAGTGGCAGTGTACCCATTTCCATTCACAGATATCTTAGCTAATATAAAAATGTGGTCAACATATAATAATCATAAATCTGAATAATGCTGTTGACTAGGCCATTTTTTATCTTTCATCACCTGCCTACATGGGAAGGCCAGTTGGAAACACGATGGCCTTGGTTTTGGCAAATGAGATAGTGGCACAAGTGTGCTAGGAAGACTTTTTGGAAGAATTTTGCTTTTCCTAATAAAAGAGACAGAGGAGACTAGTTCCATTTCCTCCCCCCTTTTTTCTGCTGTAACTGTGTCCATGATTTCTGTACCTCCAGTGACCATCTCGAGACCAAGAAAGGAATATAATTTCAGAGACAAGCAACCCTGGCATTACTACATGGATAAAGCAATGCCAGGAACTGCCTACTCAGCAGCATTACTCGTTAACCAAGAAAGTAACTATATAGTTTGGAGAGGTGGAATGTTAGTTGGGATTTCTGCAAATTAGCCTCAAGAAACCAAAAGAAAAGAAAATATAAAACTTTCACCCCTGCTAACAATTTTGAATCTAATTTTTTTATTTTATTTTATTATCTAGCTCCTGGCTAGATGCTTCCTTATTCTATATTCTAACATTTCTGGGAATTAGGATACAAACTCATGCATGTTGATAATGGTTTAGTAATCCTTTTTAACCCTTACACTTCCTGAATTCTTTTGTTCTTACACTTTAGAAAGAAGGAAAACTATAGATACATATTATAAGGAGGTAATGAATTTTTAGAGGATTCTTTGAGATAGGTTATATGATTATCATTCCCATTTTATAGATAGAAAACTGAGGAATTGGGAGGCCTAAATTCCCTTAATCTGTAAGAGATATATCCAAGCAACATGGATGCAACATTATACTATTTGTGCCTCATGTTCTTTATCAATGAAATATGGTCCTACTGGTTGGCTTCTAAATATCCTTTCAGGTGTATTTTCTACTTCTTTCAGAATATTAGCTTCCAAGTTTCTCCAAGTACTGCTGTCCTCACCACTACAATTAGGGAGAAGCACCATCAATAGGGAGACAGTTTGGTACAGATTATCGATTTAAACATGGCCTGTCTTAGCCACTTTTATAATGTTTATGGCCATGAGAGATTTACCTAAAAACCGATAAACCTGGTTTCCTCGCTTATGAAACTGAATATGATATCACATAGTGATTTGATGAGACTTTAATAAGATCATCCATAGAAAGTACTTGTCTCACAGCCCATTAGGCCCCCTACTCAGCAGGGAGCCAGCTTCTCCCTCTCCCTCTCCCTGCCGCTCCCCCTGCTTGTGCTCTCTCTCTCTGTCAAATGGATAAATAAAAATCTTTTAAAGATGAAATCAAATAAAGTACTTATCCCACAGGACTCAGTATATAATGCTCCAAAATATTAGTCATCATTTTTGTTGTTATTGCTATTATGTTAACCTCTGAAAACTTAATTTCAAGCAAGCTGGTGAGGATTTTCCCATGAATTAAAATCTATTGTCAAGAAAACCATCACTGACATATTTGATACATTTCATTGATCTTATTCATAATATCACATTATAAAGTATTATATTTGATGCATGTTCTCTTCTTGGGAATCCTGAAAAATAAACCTAAGATTCACTTTCATCTTACTAGGCCTATAGCCAAAAAAAAAAAAAAAAAAAAATCTACCAATGATACTAACAAACAAAAGCAACCTTCCTTTAATTTCCTCTACCAATCAATAACTAGATTCGTGATAGGGTGGTAAAAGCAGGACAATTTCATAACAAACATCACATTAAAAACTGGATTCCATGCAATTATCAGATCCCAATAACATACATCCCAAGCTACTTAAGGAATTGACTGAAACAATTACTGAGCCACTAAATATTATCTATGAGATTTTGAAGGACATAGTGCCTCTGATAGCAATAATTCATCACCTTTCTTTTAGAAAGGGAAAGGACAATTCTAAAAGTAATAAGGTGTCCATCGAAAGATGAATGGATAAAGAAGATGTGGTTTATGTATACAATGGAATATTACTCAGCCATTAGAAACGACAAATACCCACCATTTGCTTCAACGTGGATGGAACTGGAGGGTATTATGCTGAGTGAAGTAAGTCAATCGGAGAAGGACAGTGTATGTTCTCATTCATTTGGGGAATATAAATAATAGTGAAGGGGAATATAAGGGAAGGGAGAAGAAATGTGTGGGAGATATCAGAAAGGGACACAGAACATAAAGACTTCTAACTCTGGGAAATGAACTAGGGGTGGTGGAAGGGGAGGAGGGCGGGGGGTGGGGGTGAATGGGTGACGGGCACGGAGGGGGACACTTGACGGGATGAGCACTGGGTGTTATTCTGTATGTTGGCAAATTGAACACCAATAAAAATTAATTTATAAAAATAAAAAATAAAAAATAAAAAAAATTAAAAAAAAGTAAAAAAAAAAATAAATAAAAGTAATAAGCCAATCACCTTGACCAGACGACTAGTAGATTTCCAGCCACACTCTTCAGAGCCTAGCAAAAGAAACTCTTAAGCTTTAAGCTTTTCTATGTGCTTTTATCTATATCCCTCTTTTAACTTCAGTTGAAGTAACCATATACATGAAATTTATATTAATATGAACATCACATATATGCACGCACATACACACGCAATATAAATTTTACAAATTGGACTTTGTTTTTAAGAAAGGTCTTTAAAGGCTAAGAAGCCAAAGGCAAACAAACAAAATTCTGAATTACTATGATTTAGAGTTAAAAGACATAAGAAAAAAATCACCAAATTGTTTAAAATAAATTCAAAAATACATATTTTTGATTTTTAAGGTTTTAGATTCACAACCTTATGTCAAATGAGAGTAAGTACTACCAGGATGGTTGGGATATTGGAAGTGAGGGGGTTATTCTTGCTTTTTAATTCTGCCAATCAAAGTATCAATGCTTAGCTATTACTGAAATCAAC